GAGATGCTCAGTTTGACTATAAGTTCGCTAAAATCGGAGTTCGAGTGCTATCGGAATTAATTTTTTGAAGTTTCCAACTAGCTTTTGCCTCGAGATTCGTGCCCGATCAAGCTAATTTTTGTGACGTCGTATCAATAATCATCAAGTTGTACTCTAATAACAATAATAATAATAAAATCTTATGTTAGGAATATGAATAGGATGGGTCTTAAAATTATTAAATTTGCTTTGGAATTAGTGCTATATATTAAAATTTATATTTTACTTAACTAAGGCAAATTTACTTAGTAGAGGTAATTTAAGATTAGTGCTAATCAAAAGGGAAAATAAGATATTTGTCATCAAATAGCCTACTTCTTCAACTATTACCTCAAATCAAAAGGGAAAATTTACTTAGTAGAGGTAATTTTTGGCATTTCACCGGAAATATTTCCGGTGTATTTTCTTCGACGGAATAAAATCTCCGACGCGCGAATTACCTTCGGACAACTTTTCGCCAAAAATTCACTAGAAACCGAATTTTACATGCAGAATTTCATGTTTACCGACAGATTTTGTCCAACCAATTTTCATGTAGTGTTTCCACATTAAAAATTTTATGGTCTTCTATAACATTTTATCTGTGCGCTGGTTTTTTGTCCAACACTAAGGCTTCATTTGGGACGGTTTTTTTATTGCTTTCTAAAATGGAGTTTTAGTACAAAATTAAAAAAATTTGTACTAAAACTCCGTTTTAAAAAGCAATAAAAAAGCCGTCCCAAACGAAGCCTAAGATACAAAATATAACTACCAACACAGATCTTTTAGCACATAATTAATAAGATTTTATCTCTCTCTTAATTAGTCTTGACAAATACGTTAATTGCTTTGTTTTCTTAATGACTATATGCAGTTCTTCGCTTCGAATGGCTTCCCCATTCCATCCCTTAAAAATCCCTCAGACCACTACCTAAAAACTATCAACAAGGATTTTGACCGGGTGTGTTAGCATTTCTTTGTTTACCATTTTCGTTAATTAACTCTTAGTGTAATCCTTAATTACTAATTAATCCATCATTAACTTTAACCTTCGTTAATTACCTGTTGAATAGGACATTGAAGAAGGACCTGAAGCTGAGCTCACTACCACAGAAGAAGCCATTGAGATCCTCGTCCAGTCGTATAGCTCATCCATGGTTTCAAAACAAGCAATAACACAGATTGCTAAGATTCGTGAAATGGTATAAACCAAACTATACAGTTTCCTTTTAAGTAAGGGGCTGTTTGGTAGCAACCATGATTTGATTTAAGTAAGATTTAGTAAATATGCTAAATCTGGATTTCGGAAGTCCTGAGGGGTTTAAATCCTGAAAATTGTTTGGTAACATTCATGATAAATCCTATTAAATCATGTGTGACTGTTTGTCTATAAAACGGATTTAACAAGTGTAATCTTTCTCTAAAGCCAATAGATTTCGTAAATCTGGCAAAAAACAGGATTTCGGAAATCCAGGATTTAACACGAAAAGGCAGAATTTTCCGTCTATGGCGGATTTCATTTTCCTTGAGTTTTGGTTTTGCATTTTAGGCCGTTTGGCTGGATTTCGCTAAAATCCGCTTCAAATCTGACCTAAATCCTGCTACCAAACAGCCCCTAAGATTAGAAAACAATATATAATTCATATATTAATTATAGTTTCCATGAGCTAAAAATACATTTGTTTTTTCTTGCTGTAAGGGAGGAAAAGCTGTGAGAAAGAGGAGGCAGGCTAGCTTCCTGAAGCAGTGCTCAGTCCTTACAAGAAGATCATTTGTTAATATGTACAGAGATTTGGGTTATTATTGGCTGCGATTTGCTATCTATGTTGCTCTTTGTTTGTGTGTTGGCACAATTTATTATCACGTGGGCCATAGTTTCGGTTCTATTCAGGTTGAGTGATTAATATTTTTTTTCCCAAATTTGATATTAAATTATGCTAATTATGTTAATTTGATTATGAAAGGTTAATAATCTTAAATGATTATAGCTAGAAAGCTAATTTGATGAGTTTTTCACCATTATTTTCAGGCTAGAGGCTCTATGCTTATGTTTATAGCTGCATTCCTTACATTCATGGCAATTGGTGGCTTCCCATCCTTTGTAGAGGACATGAAGGTTAGAGAATCTACTAAAAAATTAACAAGATTAAGGCTCCATTTTGGACGGCTTTCTTATTGCTTCTTAAAGCAGCTTTTTAGTATAAAAATTTTAATTTTTTATACTAAAATGCTGCTTTAAGTAGCAATAAGAAAGCCATCCCAAATGGAGCATAAGTTGCTTCATACCAAGTAATCCTATTTTTTTGAGTGATAAGTATAAGAGTCTATTTCTAATGCAAGATATGATATTAGTAGATCTCAAATAAAATGCATTTTTGCAGATCTTCAAAAGAGAGAGATTAAATGGACATTACGGTGTTACTTCCTTCACAATAGCCAACACAGTCTCTGCAACTCCTTACCTAGCTTTAATCTCAGTCATCCCAGGAGCCATAGCCTACTACTTAGTAGGACTACAACATAGATTTGATCATTTTATCTATTTGTGCTTGTGTTATTTTCATGCATGATGCTTGTCGAAGGTCTGATGATGATAGTTGCTAGCATTGTTCCTGATTTTTTGATGGGTATCATCACCGGTGCTGGGATTCAAGGGGTGATGATCCTTAATGGAGGTTTTTTTAGATTACCAAATGATTTGCCGAAACCGCTGTGGCGTTATCCAATGTATTATATTGCTTTTCACAAATACGCAAATCAAGGATTCTATAAAAACGAGTTTATAGGTTTAACATTTCCTAAAAATCAGGCAGGGGGGCCTTCTACAATCAATGGAGAGGAAATATTAAGGGACACATGGCAAGTGGAAGTAGGATACTCAAAGTGGGTTGATTTGGGAATTTTGCTTGGGATGGTGCTCTTGTATAGATTTCTCTTCTTGGTGATTTTGGAGATGCGGGAGAAGGCAAGTCCTATGCTAAAGAGGTTGATGGTTAGGGCTCCAAGAGAGTCTACATCAATAAATGACAATTGCTCTTAATTAAGTTTCCAAAATCCCCAAGCTATTTTGATAAACCTTTTAAAATGCTTATATTCAAAGAATATTGTAATGGCTACCATTGCTATTATTTTTCAAGAAAATAGAGACTTGTGATCATTGTATTATTATGATTATAAGTGTTTTATTAATTAATATCTTATTAACAATTAGATATGGGCATGATAGTGATGAATCATCAGATATGATCGCCCCGATTAGATAATCTGCCACATTTAGGTAAATCTTTATTTTATCACTTAAGTATATAGTTTGAGTCAATATAAGCTTCATTCGGGACGGCTTTCTTACTACTTTTTGACTGTGTTCTAGTACATTTTTTTTAGTTTAAAAATATTTAATATTAAAAAATTATTTTAGAAAGCAATAAAAAAACGGTCCCAAATGAAGCCATAATCAATTAAAGTACATTTGGTAGAAGGTCAGTTGTAAGAAAAAAAAATTGTCTGATCAAACATTTTTTTTACTATGAAAGGATATAATCTCATTGTTCTAAATCTTAGATTAATATTTTTTATTTTATAATATGGTGCCAAATTTGAATAAAAATCTTCACTCAATGTCCTAAGCATTTTTTGAACCACCAAACAACTTCAAATCAATTTCTTAGAACATTCATATATTTTATGTAAGGTCAAACCTCTATTCTTTTGTTCTTCTAAGAAGTTTGATCCATTTTATGAGTGAATCTTCTTCTAAATTTTATTTAGTATGTATAAACCATCTAGATTTTTACAGAACAATCTAGCCAACTTTACAAGAATATGAAAAAAAAATGAAATTGTACCATTATATTACTATAAATATTTATATTTATTGATATATTATAAATATGAAAGGTAATAATCTCATTATTCTAAATCTTAGATTAATATTTTATTTGTGTTATTTATAGAGAAGAAATAGCATATGAATCATGTAAATAATGTGAGATATTTGTGAAATCGTATTTTGAAACAGAAAACAAACAGTAATGAAACTAGTGAGAAGCAGTAATGAAACAAGCAGTGATGCACTAATCGCTGGATTAATTATTATGTGCAGACACCGAACGCCATCCGGAAACCAACCAGAATGCATCGCAACATCCCTGTGCTCGGTACCGCGGTGCAGTACTGCTCAGTACTGCGGTGCGGTACTGCTCGGTACCACGGTGCAGTACTGCTCGGCACCAGTTGGTACCACGGCTCGGTACCTCTGACGTGGAGCATTCTGGTTGGTCTCCAGACCGCATTCTGTGTCCGGTCTCCACACATAATAATTACTCCAATCGCAGGGAGCAAATAGGGAAATAACAGTAACTCATGATGCAAAACAAGCTGCAATATTCTCCCAAAGCATCAGTGCTACCATCTACATTAGACGCCAATCACGCTAATGCTTAAGAAAGATCTAATATCTACCATCAATAGTGCACCTAATCTCATCCTTAACAACAGCATTTGGATCAAGATGCATAGAATTTTCAAGTAAAATTTAGGATGTAAATTCACAAAAGAAGATGGAAACTGTGAAAAATACCAGATATTGTGGCAGATTAGTGAAAGAAAGTCAAATTAAATATAGTGATGGTTAGACTGCACAAATAAATTTTATCAAATTTCAATTCATGAACACCCTATGAACTCTATGATTTTATATGATTGTGCCTTTCTAGCAATTAATTCTTACCAGTTTATATAGGAAATCCTACAAGATTCATATGTAATATTACCTTACAACCTGTGAATTCTATACATCTCTTGTTCTCATTAGAAACAAACTTCTATTTGTTATAAATAAAAATCAACTTTCCTTAAAAAATTTTCATGCAAATCATGTCAAAGACAAAAATGATACGAAGCATGATAACTAGCGCTAAAAATTTCACACGCTAAAAGAAGAAAAATTTGTAGCAGATTTTATCAAATTTCAATCATGCAAGCCAAACCATTCTCAAGTATGCAAATGAAAGAAATTAAATAAAGATGAAAGTCAATAAATAGAAGATCAAAGCCTGGGGTCAGCACTTGCACTGCACTCAAAATACATATAAGTTTGAGAGAAAATCTGAAATTTTATTTGGCAATAGGTTGATGTTTGCATGCATGAAGGCCCATGTCATTATAAACCAAATGAGAGTTGGCAGCTCCTAAAATCCGGAAATCAGCTAAGTCCACAAATCAACAATCTAGATTCTGCTACAGTCTGTAGCAGAATATCGACTTTCAAATCAAGGTTTCGTTTAGGATGGCTTTTTTACTGCTTCTTGAAGCAGCTTTATACTACAAAAATTTTAATTTTTATACTAAAAAGCTGCTTCAAGAAGTAATAAAAAAACAGTCCCAAACGAAGCCCAAACCAGAGCAAAAACAGCAGGTCCCGTGTCTTCCAACAGTATTACGAATCACAAGATAGGCATAGGGAAATAGCCCCAAGTCTACAGCAAAGGAGCGATTCCATTTACAGTCCAAGGTGCACCTCATCAGCAGATAATCTCATATCCCTTGCTATAGCGTTGCAATCACAGGGAGAAAATAGAAAAACAGCAGAAACTCACAATGTAAGCACAAGCTCTAGCAGCAAAACAGCACCAACAATTACAGGTACTTCCCAATACTATGCAAAGGAAAAACCTCATTTAGCGGCACTGTCTAAAGTAGGAGAAATTATTCCGTGCGGAGAATGAACCGTCAAGATGTGAGTGTACACAGTGTGTACACCGAGTAAAATTTTGCATTTAGTTTGATGTTTTTTTTTATAAACAGTGTGAACAAATATTGTGTACACTCACATCTAGACGGTTCTTTACTGTCCAGACTCCGCACGGAATAATTTCTCCTAAAGTAGACATGCATAGCCTGAAGCAGTGGAAGAATAGCAATAGCAAAATAATGTTCGGAGAAAAACTGAGACCCCTTAAGCAAAAATTATAGGATTAACCAACACAGGATTCTAACCACATCAACAAGACTATTAGAAAACACCATTCGTTCTCTATAAGGATCATCATCATAGGCATGTTCGTAACAATATAAAAAAAAAAGACTGATATGAAGACAATTCAAACAAAATCAATGCACATTATTTGTTTTTCTGATGACCCTAGACATTCAAATTGCATACAGCAGAGGAAACCAAGTAAGAAAAGTTACTCATATTCATGATTTAAATCATCACATGATATATTCATTCCAATGACGTGAAAGGAAATGTGAATTTCAATGTTAACTATTTATAAATAATAAGCACAATCAACTAACCAAGCCCATTAAAAGAAATTTTATCAATTGAATGTTTTTTTTTTTTGGAAACGGGAGTATTTACCTGCTGCCACCTCAGCTTGTGAGGCGCTTAGCGGCGTAACTAATCCCTCAGCTGACCTGGAAGAGGCACCCACTCCTACATAACCTCATGGCCCGCATTTATTGGGACCTCACTTAAGAGGGCGGCAGCGCCCGAGGGGAATCGAACACGGGTTGGGGGATTCCCAACCGTACTCGACCACCAACCAAGCCAAGCATCAGTGGGTTATCAACTGAATGTTAAGTCCTATAACTATCGTTAAAAATAAACATTAAAGTTGAAAATGATGCAAGTTTTGTACCATACATTATACATGCCCAAAAAGGGAATTTAAAAAGAAACACTGCACACCTTAAGTTTTGTGTTACTATCACAAAAACAAACAAAAGAGAGATGTAACACTTTTTATAGCATAAGCAACATTTAGGAAAACATATAACATACAAAAAAAAAAGTAAATACCAAAAACAAATAGAATCAACTTAAAAGAACAACTTGAAATCAGCAGAGGAGAAATTTCTCATTAGACAGTTCTTTCATAGCTTTCAAATATTTAAGTGCATCAACAGAAGGCAAGGCCAAAAACTGATGGCAAGAGGAAACGGCACGAAGAGCAACTAAAAATTTATCAGCTATATCAACTGAGTAACACATATAAGATTGTATGAAAGCAAAATTCATAAAGATAAATATGTTTCATTTTATTTAACATTATATGCTTACTATAAATTGCTCATGTGCCGCATATTCTGTAAAATCATTTTTTTAATCTCTTAACGGTTTATATGCTTTAAAGGCTCTTATTAATATTTCCCATCTATTTGAATACCCAACTGGGCAATCATTCACTTAAGGTCTGTTTGGATACCTTCACTGCTTTACTTTTAAGATCAATGCCACAATTCTATTTGAACATTTCTTTCTTGCTATTTTTTCAAATTTCTATAGTAAAACCTTAAAACCAAATCTAATAATATGTAGTAACTATAAAAAAGTTGCTTTTTGACTTTTTTTCCAAAAAGAAATATATATAATAAGCACAATAACTTCAAAAAAGAATTATTTTCTCTTCAACAGCTTTACAACTACATTTATAAAAAGTCACAGTAATCCTAAATGAACTCTTTTACCTATTAAGTGATATATCTTCGCTTAGAAATCTAAACTTAAGAAACCTAAAATCTATTTAAATAAAATACTAGAAGTGCAAAACTAACCTGAGAATTATTGATAATGAAAGATGAGCTATAAATTAAGTAATATGTACAGTTTTCTTATGATTCTCATTGCCATGCTCCAAACATAACAAAAATGCATAGAGAAAGCCATCGTTGCTTCTCTTTTTGCCAGCATAAGTAATATTCAGTATCTCTGTTAATTTTAGAAAAGTGCAAACGAACCTCAAGTCTCTGGGATACTCCACTCAATCAACTCAACTCTTATCTCTCTAGCATTTAAAAGCTCAGGTTCTAACCATGTTTACCTCTGCAGAAAGATCTTCTATGTAGTGCAGCCAAAAATTTCAGAAAAGCAAACGTAAACCACTTTATAGATCACTATAACCAGTATTTATAACGCCTTTATAAGAGTATAAAACCATTTGATTTACCAGTTAAGCATGAGGATGTCATATCAAAATCCAAAATCAATTCAAATCTGAGAGAATTATTCCATCCTAAAAATTGCTCTTTTAAAAAATAGTTCTTTAAGTAACCAAAAATATACTTAAAAAAAAAAAAAAAGCTGACAGGGAGGGCATAATGAACAAATCTCCTCGTCAAACAGTGCTTGTTTACACTCAATTCATGAAAAATCCAAGTCCGGTGGAGCGTTGAAGGGGGGGAAATTACCTGTTACCCTTGCATATCCACTGAATTCTTCGACTTCTTCGAGAACGCCCCTGCAATGGTCTCCATAATTCCCCGCTGCGCTTCCATGATCATCTCCATCCTTTTCGCCTCCATCTCCATCCACTCCCGCTCCATCTCCCTCATAACATCCATCCTCTTCCTTTCCATCCTCACATAACCCTCCCCAAACCTCTTCAACTCCGCCGCTATCTCCCCCACATCACCGCCATAGTCCTCCTCGTTCTCCTCATCATCATCTTCCTCCTCCTCATCCTCCTCCTGCTCCTCGGTTAGTCTCTTCCTCTTCCCTAAATTTCTCGAAACTCTAGAATCCTTCCACGGCACCGCCTCACGCAGGATTCCATTAATGCTCCGCGTGTTGCTCCCGCGCGGCTCTCCGGAATCCTCATCCTCTTCAGAGAAGGCCGGCAGTGCGGAGATCGGTAACGGCCCGCGCTCCATACGGTCGATCCGGTCAAAGAAAGGCCAAGAGGATCTTATGGGGCGGAGACGCTCGGAGCGATAGCGCTTGCGGAGCTTCTCGATCTTGTGGCGGCACTGCGTGCCGTTTTTGGAGGGGATAGTAAAGCCACATCGAGTGGCGACATCAGCGGCGACCTCTTCCCATTGTTGGGCCTTGAGCTGGCCGCGTTTCAGGGAGTACCATCTCTCCTCGTAGGCATCGATCAAGTGACCCGTCTCTTGGTCCGTCCATGGCGAGCCTGGGTTGAATTTACGGGGAACCGCGGTGGCGACTCCTGCCGCCAGAGTTGATGATCCGCCGGCCGTCATGACTTTGGGACTAGGGTTTGTAGCGGAGCAAGAGGGGAGGGCATTGGTAAGAGGCGGTGGGTGCGGCGGTGGCGGTGGTGGGTGATTTTGACCGGATAGGTGGATAGGGAGTTTTTTTTTTAATATTTTAATTTTATTTTATTTCGCGCGCCTGCAATATTGTAAATAGAATTTTGAGAATAAATAATAATGGAAAAACTCATAGGAGAAATTTGGCGAGAGCTTCGCGAGAAGCAGTATATAACTATATTGGATCCAAATGGCATTTTCGTGAATAACAACACAATGATGAAATGATGAAGTAATCATATATATCTTAAAATAAAATATTATTTATTGCGTCCTAAAATACCCACAGCGATATAGAAATATAAAATTGACCATCTTAATTTTGTAAAAAAAGCCAACACACAATCATTGAGAAAGTAATAGACAAATGAAATTGCAATTATTATCTTAAAAGCAAAATAGATAGAAAGTTGTCACAATCAAATCCTAAGTCACATATAGTGGCATGTAAGTTAGACGAGGTATAATTCGACACGTGAACAACTTCAAACCAGACACCAATCAAAGAAACACGAAAAAATAAAATGCAGTAGAAAGTGAATGACACCAAGATTTAACGTAGAATAATTCGAGATCGGGAAAAAAAAAACCACGGAGTCACACCTCACCAAGAAATCTACCATAAAAATTGGGAGAAATAAGTACACACCTCTCTTCTCTCTCGCTCTCTCCTTCTCTTCTCACTTACATTGTTCTCACATAAGATACAAAAGAGAAAAGCCTCTATATACTACCAAGGGACTACACCCTTGAGAAAAATGAGGAAGAAAACTATCTAGCCCGCCTCAAAGCGCTGCGGCACTTGTTTGAAGCTTTACGATGCTCTAACCTCTGTCATTTGATCCGTCTGATAATACTGTGGCGCTACACTCTCTATTAATTATAAAGAAAATTGTTCGGCGACCAATGGAGCATTGAGTCCCTCATGTACACAACAACATCGGTTCCCTCGGATATACAATGCTGGGGCGCTCAGATTCACAGCGTCGAAACCCAAGCAAAATGAGGACCCCTCGCACCGCCAGCAACCTCGACAAACTAACTGACACAATCTAATTTCACAGAATAACCCGAAACAATGTAATCAATGCCTATTTTATTTTATAGTTTAATATCATATTTCTTATGCTTATAGTATTTATTTAAATTTTTATTAAAGAGAGTGATGATTCTCCTTTGAATTATTGTTATCTTAGTGCGTATAAGAATTTCATATAAGACTAGTACATAAAACTCTCTCAACTACCACAAAAATTTTATTTTCTGATAATTAATTTTAGAGAGCTGTGTAGCCGTCACAATGGGCCCTTATTTAAAAAAAATTTGGCACGTTGCGGGAAAATAAATGTAATTTTGACTCTTTTAATCGATGAAAATAAGAAGGTCAAACATATAATTTGTTGAGTCTTAGGCCTGCGATGTTTGCGATTGAGTAATAATGGAATTTTTTCCCTTGTAAAAAAGAATAATAATTTTATTATAATTTTAACACTTCAATAAATTTGACTATAAAATAGTTATTTCATGATAATTTTAATTTGAAAAGCAATAACAAAATTATAATCAAATTAAAATATAGCAAAAATCAAATAATGATATTAAAAAAAAAATTATCCCAAACACATATTATTAATAACATTACATTATTACTTCAAATTCAAAATATCAACCACCATGACTTCATCTTTGCATAATGACATGTAGGGGTGTCAACGAGACTAGGCAAGCTTGATCCACCACTGGCTTGAGCTTGAGCTTGAATAAGTAGTCTAGTTCTAGCTTGAGCTCGAGCTTTATTGTGTGAGTTCGAGCTGGCTCATTTATGAACAGCAACAAGCCTAAACCTCTGACATTGTCCCTCTCAATCACACAATATTACTTCTCATCGTGCACTGCATCCTGCCCCTCTTTGTCGCCCCACCCCTTCTTGTAGCAAATCGAAGGCACTTTCTTGGATTAATAAGCAACACCAAAGGCTTTCGGCCATCGTGGATTCATGACATTGTATGGGGCTCCTACTACATTAAGGTTTCGTTTGGGACTATTTTCTTACTGCTTTTTAAAGCAGCTTTCTAATACATAATTTTTCATTTTTATACTAAAAACTGCTTTAAGAAGCATTACAATGACATATTGAAAGATGGGCGCAAAACAAAAGACGAAAGGATGAAGACGATCATGGAAGGAGGAGGTTGATTATAAAGACAATTAGAATTTTTTATTTATTTATTTTTTGCTACTTTCATTTTGAATATTTATAAATATTAGATAGAGGATGCTACATATAATGCTTACTTGAAAGCTTTAATTAGTCAATTGTACACAAAATTATATTTTAACTTATTGAAGATGTTTTATGCATATTTTGTTTTATATGTTGATTCGTGTTGACTTGTTGTGTTTGTTATATTTAACGTTTATCTTTTGTCTGTACAAATACGGTTATTACGTAACTGACATGTTGTGCAAGTTGGTTGTAGTCAAGCAATTGCAACAAGGTTTCGGTTGGGACGGCTCTTTAACTACTTTTTAAGGAATTTTTTTGTATAAAAGTTAAACTTTTTTTATTGAAAAGCTACTTTAAAAAACAGTAAGAAAACCGTCCCAAACAAAATTAAAATTTCCAATCACATAATTTGCTTTCATTCTACACAAACATAAAAAAAA